GAAGAACACTCATAAATAGTCTTGAAAAGGTTATAATGACCATCCATGGGTTGATTCAGAATATTTATCTATGAATAAATCTTTGTTTATTTTTTCAGTATATCAATCAAACTAGCTGAACAAATTATTCCTGTATGTGTAACAAGTGATGATAATACTCATTATTTAATTGTTGTATATCCACCTATTGAAAATTTACATATATGTTTACTTGAACAACAAACTCGACATATGATACATTTAATAAATTTTTTATTTGGTTCAATATATCATGGATTATTCTACTATCAAGAATCGATTGAATACTTTTTTGATATATTTTTTTATCGTCTTCATTGTTTATTATCATCATCAATAAATTCCTCACCAGTATTAAAAAATGTTCGTCTACTTGATGAATTTTTACCTGCACAATTTAATGATTATGGTACATGTCCAAAATTAAATTTAAATGATCAACAATTAGTATTTAATATTAATCATCTATTAAATCAATTAGAATGTCAAAATTTTAATCAATGTTCAAATGAAAATGATTTTATTATAAATCGTTATCGGCGAATATTTTTTTTAAATGGTTCAATTTTATTTCATCGTAATCATCTTTTAATAAGTCATTTATCAAATGAAACAACCATTGATATATATCGTTTTCTTATTCATTATGGACATTTAAATTTGTCACAATTTTATTATGATACATGGCATTTATTATTATTTAAAGAAATTTTTCCATCAGGTTATGAATCTAAACAACGTTCATTTTTAATTGTTTGTAGTCAAGGTGAATTAACTTTAGCTGTTATTATTCAAACTGAATATGAAAAAAATGATTTTAAGTAAGAGAAAATAAATATTAAATTGTTTTTATAAAGATTAATTACTTTAGTATACCACCTGATCATGAATTAATTCAACAGATAAAATTAACTTTAAATGATATATATTCAATTCTTCCAAAAACAATAATAAATTCAGCACCATGGATTATATCGTCACCTGTGGCATTTGTTAAAAAACAATTAAAACGTACAATTTCATTACCATTAATAGGAGGTATAGAAAAAAAAAAATTAGAAATGAAATGAATTAATATTATATATATATATATATCACAAATGAACATTTTCAACTGATCAGCTGCCTGTTTTTGATGAAAATTAGTGCATTATAGATTTTTCTTCACGTTGATTTTCTTGAAAACTGGTCTCTTAGACTAAGTACCTTCTCGTCAAAATTGATTTTTTTTCTCTATCATATTACAGAGCTTATCGAATAGTATAGAAAAAAAGTCGGTTTTTTTCTGTTATAAATTATTCATTTTTCAAAAAGTACAACCATTTAAATTCATATAAAAGATACATATCAATATTTCAACGTGAAAATCTTCAAAATAATATTAATTTTTCTCAAAAGTTATTTTTGGAAAACAGAATTCATTATTGACTTACAAACAACTCGATATATTCTATAATCTGAGTACATCTAAAACGGCTTTGATAAAATATTTGCTAGTTGGGAAAGCCAGTTTATAAAGTCATAAGGGATTTTTCTCATGGTCATATTCTAATTCAGCGTGGTCAATAATTTGTGATCCACTAACTTTCGTTAAAAAATGATTCATCAGTTGAAAACGTTCCCTCATTAGAATTATATGCTGTAATATGAGTCAGATTAACTTTTTGATGAATGTATAAAATGCGGTAAAAAGTTGGGTACACACTAGTTCCCAGCGTGACCAACTTGTTTTGGCCAAGATCACGATGAGTCCAGCCCGTGACCTTGAGTCACGGACCTTCTTTCTGGTTACTCAACATAAAACAAAACTTTCCAGTAAGAGCTATTGCAAAGTTTTTGTTCTTTGTTAAAAGTGATAACGGCGAAATGAGGGGGGGGGGAGTAGCCTGGCGAAGATCCTCCTATCCCTCTTCAGTGCTAAATTCCTGGATGTCCTTGACTATTTTAATACCCGTGACCAAGCTCCAGTCACGGTCACATCAGACACTAGTATACATGGTAAATTTAAAATAAATTCTATTTTCTAGAAAATCGAGTAAAGTCTCAAACGTTTCCGGTTTTCTGAAAAAATTATTCTGAAACAAATTGAAAAATCAATCTAGATTTTACAAAAACGGAAAAATCTACCTGACTTTCTGGGAAACGATTTAAACAATGAAGACCAAGGATATCATTGTATAGTTCCTTATATAAGTCAGTCGACGATATCCGACAACTGCAGCGACTATCTGAGTTACATGAAGTATAACTGTTCATGTCGCCAATTTTGCGTGAAAACCGATGGTTGGCTACGGTTCATAAAACCACTAACAGTTCGAACTGTTTACTACGTTTTCTCGAGCATTTTATAGTTTGTCTATTAAATTAGTGTTTTCAGTCTGGAAGAGATCGATTTCAACTGAAAAAGTCGATTCTAATATACGATAGCATATGATGCCATCTGTCATAAATATACGAACGCGAACGCTAAGCTGCAACAGCCGATGTGGCTGATACAAATGACCTGATCACGTTTACAACGATAAGTGACCGTGCAATTTAGATCGAAATGTAACATTTTTCTTAGAGTTTAAAAATATTCATGTACTGAGATACAAAAAAAACAAACAAAGCAGAAGAACTGCACTTTGAACGACCTAGAATATTTCGAATAATCCTTAAATTTTTCTTAATTGCATATACTCAGAGTCAATGCTGTAAGTAAAATTAGTATAGAGATGAGAGAACAATTTATTGTAAAGACGAAAAGTGATAATAGATATACTTGTTTTGAAAGATGTTCAGAATGTGGAATTGAGTTCGATATTGTAGAGATATACATATGAATACAATCGTGATTTTCTTACGAGAAATTCATTACTAGAATATCGTTTTCTGTTCTCTATAATTTATTTTTCATTCTAAAATATACTTGTATTTTTAAGATCATTTTTTAACGATAATAACTAAAATGAATAGAATAAAATATTTAAGTAATTCTAAGAGTATTTTTTTTTCTAGTTTCTATTAAAATTTTTTAGTCTAAAAAATCAAGACCCTCAAAAGTTAATTTTCTAAAATTTAATCGAAAATATTTTGCAAATAAGTTCCTTCGATAATACAAAGATTTCTGAGTAAGATAAGAGATAAGCAAGCATTTCATAGTAGACGACCAGATCGAATTGAATGCGATTGTTTCGTCTTCAATATTTAGGACAGTAGAAACTTCAAGTACTATTCTGGTAGTACTCGTACTTGAGAAACTCCATATTTGGCCAGTTCTGATAATCAATAAACTTAAAGAAAACTCCCATCTAACAACAATCTCTAATATATTTTCTCACTAATAAAACCTTAAATTTAATATCTAATATTCAAATAGAAAATATTAACTGTACAACATACTAGATAAAGAACGGAAGTATGACGCATTAAATGGTAATTATAAAAACAAAAAACTCTTTTTTTGCTATATTCTAATGCTTTTTCAATATCTATATGCGTGTATGTGTGGTGTTCAACCTATTGTGATCAAAACAGAATTTAAAGCATGAAATACATAAAATTTCCTTTTTTTTATTTTATTTTTTAATAGCATTCAGTCAATCAAACAAATCGAATAAAAATGAATCAAATGTTGATGATACAATATCATTAACATCCTCTCATTATCCTGATCAATCACAAACAGATTTTCGAATAACACAATTAGTAAGTCAACCTGAATCTCAAGATGAATTATATAAAAATAATCGTCAATCATTTATGTCATCAACTTTATCACTTGATGAACAACAAAATAAAAATCTTCATTCAAATTTATCAACATATCGATTACATCCAGGTAATTATTCAACAATATTTTATTATCTTGATTTTCAATCAATTCGTGGTTTACTTATTGCACCATATTTTACACTTGATAAAATAACACAAACAACATTAACTGATCGTCTTTTATTTGAAACTATTCAACAAACATGTATTTATATACGACGAAAACATTTTTTTCGACAATCTAAATTAAATTTAAAAAATTTATTTAGTACAAAAATTCGACCTAAATATTATGAAATTGGTTGTCAATTTTCTTTACAAACAGATCCAGATAATAAGAAAAAAAAAGATACAAATTTATTTAATTTTTGGATTGTAGCAAAAAAATGTTTACAACCTATTGAACATGAATTTTTTGTTTGTTATCATGATTCAATAGCACAAAATATAACTGAATTGGCATTTACTATTGGAATGTTATCAATATGAATCTGAACTTTTCTCTTTACATTACAATCTAATTGTGTTTGTGTTTTTTTCTTGAGTATTTCTAGGAATTTAAATAAAAGCTTTAGATATTGATAGATAACTAACAAAGATATTAGTTAAATTTAGTCACGATTTATTATTATTGATTAATAAAAAAGAAGAATATATGTTTACTATTAAATAAATACAGTATATGATACTATTTTTTTCTTGACGTATAGACCAGTTGAGTCATGCATAAATGTTTACAGGGTGACACAAAAGCAAGAAGAAAACATGATGCTGTCTACTTTCAGATACTTCAAAGTTCTTCTTTGTACTTTTGTGTCTTTTATAGTTAAGTTTGACATGTATGTATATCTAGAGCTCGACAAGATCAATTCTAGTCCTGATCTGAGGATTATTTGTTCGAACAGATCTAACCGAGATAGGAGCTTCCTATCGATAACTGTGATTGCTACTCGGAGAAGGGTTACTAATCTTTTCTCGACTATCTAGAAATGATCCATGTAACTATTCTGAATCAACCCATGGATGGTCATTATAACCTTTTCAAGACTATTTATGAGTGTTCTTCGTAACTTTTTGGGAGATACCTAGGGAAGGAAGTTCTTTTCACATTATTAACTAACGGTAATGACGCTGCTACTAATTACCGAGTAACGGGCTAGCAGAAAACTTGTCCATTTGATTCTTTTGTCAGGAAATAGCTAATGAAGGAAAGTCACGATTTTCTATACAGTTTGATAAAAGTTTTCATGGTCAAGAAAATTTGACCTAGAAATTAAGTATGGAATTTCGAGCAATCGATTATAGAGTCGGATTTCTCAACTCCGAAAACCTTAGATCAAACTTTATAAAACATTGCAAATTTTTCCTCATAGCTGTTTCATGATGAAAATATCAAATTTATGAATTTTTCGCTATCCTGTCATTTAATAAAGTAACAATTACTTCCCTCGTTTACTTTGAGATACTTTAAGATATTTCAAAGTACCACAATGTTATGTTTCATCCTTACTCAAAAGTCACTTTGTTGAAAAATAGTTGAATATTACCGCCATGTTTTGACCAAATGGGCTAATTTTTTCATCACTGATAAACGTATGTTCATAACTCATATTTATTAGAAAAACATTGGCAAAGACTGTTATGAAGTACTACCGCTGACCTAAATATAATTCAAGAATTCTGAAAAAAAAAACAATATATTTCATTGGTCAAAATCAATGATACAGCGAATTTTTTTGAATAAGTTTCTGTACTATTGTGCTTAGTCTCATATTTATATCAAAGATCCATGTTTTTTTTACGCATTGTATTCTAAAATTTTCAGTCATAAATAGCGAGAATTGGTTGAAAAAATTGTCAATATGTCTCGTAAGCCCTTATGTGGTTCAGAAGGAATTTTCTTGCGATGATTATCTTGTTATTCTTTCTAGTTTATTTTAAATCTTAAAAAATCAAAGCTATTTCCATCTTCAAAATATCTCAACGACTAACTAAAGACGATCCAAGAATTCAAATTTAGCAAAAAATGATCACGAGATGAATATTATAATGAATTTCAGTTTCAGCTGCATATAAGTATAGGGGGATATATTTGCATATTCTCAACAGATTTTTCGACATTTATGGCTAAAATTTCAGGGCACACTGAGAAACAAATCATATATCTGTGGTATAAAGATGAGACAAAATAGTTAATGAATGTAACATTTATTTTAGTCATGAGAATATATTGTTTTTCATAACTCGTGAAAGACTACTGTTTTCCATTGAAGTCAACAGTAGCAGTTCAACACAGTTTTTGTCGTATTTAAATTTCGGTAAAGTGACTTTTAGACCATCCAATATGTTCATAGTGTAGAAGGAAAGAGAGTTGAAAAAAATTATTGTACACGTGTTTACAGTAGAAAAGTTATAATAGAACGTGGAACCGCAACAATGATTTCATTGTTGAGAATAAAGAGTTGTTCACGAGTTGAGATTTTGCTCTTTAATGTGAATACCTTGTAATAATAAATGTTCTAAATTCCTACCGATCTCGTCATAATGAACATCTTACAGTGAACGCTTTGCTTTTGTTCTACTAGTATTCGTACATACTCTCATATGATTCTAAGAATAGAAAAAGATACGAGACATGAGTTAGATTCTACTGTCTAACATGCAAACAATCGAAGCATATTTCTATGAAAAGAGATAGGTAAGCAATACCGAAGAAACAGGATGACAAGGACAAGCAAGCTGAGAATAGTATCAGCTTGTTACAGGGTGACAAGATCTACAAAAATTTTGGTCTGTCTAGATCCCCAATATACATGACCTTTCTAAAAAAATTATTCTCTTATTTGGATTCCGACTTTGATGGAGTGTTAATCTCAATTACTGGCTTTTTGTATAAACTATCGATGCTGCAGCAACATTTACAGATACTATCTGAATGTTTTCTGTACTGGAAATTGTGTAAGATGATAACTATCTTTTGATAGAATTGCAAAGAAATGGATTGTGGTCTTAATTAGGTTTAAATACTATATTGATAATTGTGATTGTTATCTTTCGTTCATGAAATGGCTGTATGTTAATCTATCTTAATACATCAATAGAGCTCATAAAATACATTATAATAAAAACTCTATATTCATTCTATCATTTGATTATTGATCGTCACATCTAAGAATCAATGATCGGTTGTCATAAAAACAAAAGTATATGCGAAATTCTTTTTTTTCAATCGATAACAAAACAGAAATGACTTGTAATGTTTAAATACGCTCAACAACTTGAAATATTAATGAAAATTTTTACTAAGAGAAAAAAGTCTTCAAAAGTTTCTTTCTAATAAAACTTAATCCATTTGATTAAATTCTATATATACCAGTAACATGAAATCTATAAATGGATTCGTATTTAGAGGTTTAACATTGCTTGTATTGCCATTGTAATAGATAGTCAATGATAGGAGACATTTTTAGAAGCAATTACTATTCTATTTGTTTATTCTTATGGATCAATGCTGACGACAGTTTTTTATCGAGCAAAACGACCTAAAGTTTCTTGTTTGTGTCAATGGAATAGAATAGATTTGAGTATAATCAATAATTTCTTGATATATTAATAAATTTACTATCATCACTTGTCATTTATTAGCGTAGGTTTTCGCAAATAAGTTTCCATCAAATATTCTGAATAAGATAGTATATGATTGATTTATAAGTTACTACTTTTTTATGTACTTTTAACTGTTAGAATATTTCTATGTTAACGCCCTTATTATTCTTGCTGATTAATAAATTCTGTCCTTTTTTCTCATTGTTTTCTTACTGTGCTTTCTATTTAGACGATATATCGCCTTTCATTCTATTCATCTTTTGCAATACCAGCAGAAACGACTATCGAATACCATCATCGTCTCTCTAAATTATACATACATATATATATTTATATTTATATATATATATATATACGCAGTGAGCAATTTCATTACGTCGTCATTGTGTAAAGCCGATTTGTCAGTATTGGATATGGACGAGAATATGCACGCATAAGCAAGATATTCTTCTTTGTCGTTGGCTTCTTTGATTAGGATTCAAACTGCTTTTTTTGTCGTGTATAGCAAATACACACATACACAGCGCAATTAGACTGCTGTTATTGTTGTTGATATTGCCGACAGCAATGATAACGACAAATCTCGAAGGAATGACAGTAACATAGGATCTATCTTTAATAGTTTTTTTTTCTGGTTTACATGTATCATCGCGCAATATAGAGAACGAACAAAAAAAAAGCAAAGAATTACGAAATACATTTATATATTTTTCTTTTTTCTTTCTCTCTCTCTCTTCTTATTTTCTTTTTTGTCTTATATACAATTGATGGACGAATCTTTTGTCTGTATGTAGATGTATATATATATTTACGTATTTGAAGAATTTCTCTCGTAATACAAAAACCTTGAGTCACTGTATCGTTTGCCTATGATATCAAAGAATAACACAGTAACCCTCTATAGTCTTTTTTTTTGTAGAAGTTTTTGTTTTTCCAGTGTTGACGAGTAAATATATTACTTGGACTTTCTCTCTTGTATACACACACGCACACACATACTGTCAACCTACGCTTAGCACGATTATAATAATCATCGCACACACCAATGGTAGCAACCGTAGAAATATATAGTAGTTGTGATAGTGTTGTCCACAGGAAATACGCACAGCTAGACAGAATAGCAGACCTAGTTTGTATATAAATAAACAAAGCATACATATGGGTCAGAGCTAAGCAAGTATACATTAAGAGTATTTGAACTATTGTTATATACGAACATTATTGTCAAAATAAATACAAAAAGCCCCCGAAGGACAAGTATCACTATTAAATGTGTAATTCAATCCAATACAGATGATTATAACAAAAAAAAAAAGAAAAAGAGAATAAATTTGTCTAAGAAATTGGCTTATTTTCTTCACCTTTAGGAATTTGCTTTATATATGCATGTATTTTATTTATTTTAGATGTCTCGTTCTACATTCCTGACGACATCATCGTCGTCACTTGACGCAAATGAGATGCCATCTCATCCTACAACAACAAATGCAAATACAGATCGTACAAATACTCTTCGTTTTCATCATCGTTTAATGCCGACTATTGCAACAAATAGTCGATCAAATGAAACTTTACCTGTGATTGTTGTTCAATCATCAGCAACATTAGCTGATTCATTAACAACAACAACGACTACTACTACAAATAATACTCAACATAAATCTGTTGTACGTCTCAATCCAAAATTGAAAAGAAATTTAAGAGGCACACGTCGATCAACTGGTATTCGACCAGATGACGTTTCATTAGCAAATGCGACTAATGATGTAAGTAATACATAATATTATAAGAATGAATCATGTGTAATTTTTTTTCCTATTATTTTCTAGACAGCTTTTAATGATGATGATGAAGAGGAGGACAAATCAAATACATGCAATCAATTTATCACAATCACTAGTAACGAACCCAGTGAATCTTTCGATCATAATCGAACAGTATATGAAAAATTTATTCAAAATATTATTACAATTTGTTTTTGTCTTTCAGAGTCCTCCAAAACCGGTGTTTACAGTTAGTCGAGTGCAGTAAGTAGACATACTCAAAAAATAAACCCAGATCGATGATTCCAGTGCCGGAATCCGTGTACTCCCGTTGAAAACCAACAGGAATCACGCTGTTTCCGATCGAAGAACTCCGCAAAATAGTAGAAGCTTAGAAACAGGAATTCGATTATTGTTTTTCATTACCAAAACTGGATAAATCCGGTCACCGGATTTCTATTTTCATGCTCCTATAATTTTCCAAAGCTTTTCGACCGGAATCGGCTGTAACTTATTCATGTGAAAAAGAATAAATCTCATTATATTTATCTATTAGACCAACATTCGACGAAAATTCTCGTCATTCATTTGAAAAATTATCAATTAATCGTACAGGTAAAATATTTTTGTGATTGTTTCAAAAGAGAATAATTTCTTTTATAGATCCTTTTGTAATGACATCATCACCGTCACCATCATCACCTTCGAATATATTTTCTAATACATCAACAGTAATGTTTCGACCTGAAGAATTCATTCTACGTCGGGTAATGTGTAAGACATGATTATTATTGTTTTATTATTATTATTATTATTGATTAGCAACCATCTGATGAAGATCCTTCAATAATAAAACGTCGACAACTTGAAGAACGTATTTGTACACTTGAATCACTTGTCCGTGATAAAGATTCAATTATTCTTGATTTACAACGTCAACTGGATAAAACCACAAGAGTATGTTTTCTATTATATATGTTTTTTTTGCTTATTGAAAAATAATTTGTTTCTTAATTAGGATTTAAATGATGCCGAACAACAAATATATGTATTACAAAGAGATAAATTAACATTAATAAAAACTTTAACAACATTACAAGACACAAAATCTTCGTCAGTAGCAGGAGGAGGAGGAGGAGGAGCAGCAGCAGCACCGGGAAGAGATACTTCAACATCACCAAAACGAACTGGTTTTATAACAAGAAATTAAAACAATTTTATTTTTAGTTTCTTTTTCTTTTGGTTCTTGTATAAATATGAATATATAATTATTTGATTTCTTTAGAAAATGAATGTCATTCTAAGTGACAGAAGTTATGCAGAATATGTAAACATTCTCTGTCATTCGCAGGAAAGGAAAAAATAACCGAAGATATTAACACTCGTTAGATGATCAGTTATCGTTAAGAATGTTGCTTAAGAACGTTATTATCCTTCTTATTTTTGTACCTTTTCGTAAGTGTAAAAAAGAAAAAAAATGCGTGTATCGTCTTCTTTTTTGTTTTGTTTTTTGTTTGTTTCTAACTAATAAAATGAATACATAGGTATTTTTTCAACGAATAATCTTTGTCGATTAATTGAATTTAATATACCACAAGGATTATTTTCATTTCGTACAAATGATATAGAAGAAAAATTATTTTATAAAACTGATTATGTATGTCAGAATAAACCAATTTTTCGTTCAATTAAATATCAACATTTATATCAATTTCAATCACCAAATAATCGTTGGTGGACACTATATGATACAATAAATTCAACATATAAATTAGGCATGTATGAATGGTGTAATGCATGGAATGCTAAACCTTTACTTGCAATGCAACTTGGAATATTTCAACATCCACTTGGAAAACAAATCAAATTACAACGATGGAAACATATAATTGTTCATGAGAAAAATAATAGTTACACATATAAATCTGTATCAAGTAAGAAACAATACATTGAATTTTAAGTTATTTCATTTTTCGATGGAACATTGATTATAATCCGCCATTTCTCTTATGAAAGCTTAGCGCCTACTGGACTTTTTATTTGTTTCACAAGTTAAATATTTGGAAGCGAACTTTTATTATGATCATTTGTTTTTGTCTCGTAGCTTTGATTTAATTCGTTTACACGTATAGAAGTGCTTCAAATTCGATAAATTGAAATTTTCATTCTATGTGACAATTTTGATACGAGTTATGATAATCAAAAATTGACTTCTATTCTTTATTAATTCCATATGATACTTTGATTTAAGGAACTGTTGAGCTTTGGAGGAGTTGACGAAAAAACTTTCGCAAGACTCTGTCAGGTGACATTTTCTTAGAAGTTTACGTCAATTATTTTGAAGAATGTATAAAGTAAACCCTTTACGAATAAAATCAGCACTTTTCATTTTTATGAAATAGATAGTCTAAATCTTAAGATGTCTTATTTTTCATTTAAAGATTTTTTTATATTTTTTTGTCAGCTTAATAAGAATTTACATCGTTTTATTTCTACACTGTATAATACTATAACAGAAAGAAAGTCAACAGAATGATATAAAACCATGTCTCTTTTCTATTTGTCAGTCCCTGAACAGCTGTCTTTCATTAATGTATATGTGTACATAGTTTTTGGCTCAAGACAAAAAACTCGTTTGTTCGTTAATAGAAAACATGAAGAGCAAACAAGATCAGATATGCCAAAGAAGTGACAACGAAAAGCGATGAGTTTATCTATGCGATGATTTACGTTGCTATTTTGAGCTAGGTCGGATAGAGGTGGATTCTATTACATTTGGAAGATCATTAAGTTGAAACTTGGCTTCTATTATGTAAGGAAGAAGAGAATATATTATGCGAAGGGCAACTGCCGACATTAATTATCCACATATTAGCAAAAGAATTCTATTGAATCTAGTGAAATTTTGCCAGAATAACATATAGTTCATAAGGTCTTTTTGTGTGTTTATCTATTCGATATATTCAGCTCGTATCGTGAAATATTATAAAGGAAAAACATGTCATACTTTTATGTGTGCAAAAGTGCATTAATGTTATCGATTCGTGCCATTTCATATATTATTCATGTAATTATGATAGATAGAATATATTGTGTCTAGAAAACTATCTGTTCGAACGAAGTATTTCTGTTAGAAAACAGATACGAACAAGATCAATCATTGCTTTTCTGATCTTTATCTTGATCAAGAAAATCTTTTGATTTCAGTTTTTGATTTCGCAAATATTTTATTATCATAAAACTTACAAAAAGCTCTTTGCCGTTGTCTATAAATGAGAAATATTTTATTGATATAATGTCATGTATTCAATTACTAATGTCTTTTGTCTTAAATGCTCAGTTAAACATGAATAAAATTAGTTGTTTTAGTTTCGATCCAGAACAAAGAAAAATTTTGGTTTCATAACAATGCTGATTATGTATAATAGAAAATCTGTTGAAATCACATAAACATTCTATTTATTTATTGTGATGTTAAGATCATCATAAAGTATTCTTAATAGACAATACGGTCCTATATATAATATCTGAAAGGATTATATCAGTTTCATTTAATTCTGATTTCAATTACCGGCATATTTGAGCTTATATTAAATTAATTTCTCTAAATAAAAATGAATCTATTAATAAAATTTTCATCTACATTAGTTGACAAAAGTCCTTCTACTAGGTATATAATATCTAAATGCACATCCTTTAGTCTCATATTTTGGTGACAAATAATGTGCGATGCATCCTGATCACCAGCAACAATCAGGACTTGATTGGCTTTTATGTGAACGAGCGTAAAATCTAACACAGATTTTTTTCACTCAAATGGAAATATTTCAGCATTAGCAAGATACCTTATAGATCTTGATCCCTCCGTTGAGATCTCAATGCTTCTTCTATCACCGATAAAACTTTATATCGAACGATTATGGTTTGCTTGACTTATGAAGTTATCTTTAGATACTCTTAGCATGAGCATTGAACAGATTCATTAAATAGTAACCGGTAGCGACGACTATTTTCTCCTGTGAGTTGTATGCTGTAATCAAGGATCATTTGACCACGCCATAATTGTAGCTATTGGTGCAGCAAGATCCTATGTAAAAATCATCCTAAATAATGGAAGCGTCGCTGCATCTCAGAATTACAGCAGATTGGAGTCTTCTATCTATGGCATAAAACTCTAAAGCTAATACATTAAAGCCAATTGATCTTGAATAGGTGCGAGTAGTGGGACTTTTTATGACTGTTGTATGTTGACATTTGCATATCTCTAGTCACAACACTATGGCCAATCACAATACTTAAACAATAAAATATACATATTATTTTTTATTTTGATATAGATGTTTCTCTGAAATGTTATTATCCTTCATCAACACCGGTTTGTCAAACACATCAATTAGCTTTTCTATTCGATTTAACTGAAACAACAAATAAAAATGAATTAGATCAAATGAAATTATTAACAAAAACATTAATTTGGTTATTATATAATCAAACAAATATTTCACTTAGTTATTATAGTGATAGATTTCATCTTATACATTCATTTGATGAAAAATCATCAATAAAAAGTCTTGAACATTTATATGATTCAATCGATACACTTAATAAACATAATGAAAAACCAAAACGTTTTTCTGTTCAATGGCCTGAAGCAATTCATAGTATTGTTACAAAAATTTTTAAACGTCGATTTTTCTTACCACTTAATATAATCAATTCAACTGGTCAATATCAATCTATAACAGATGATTCAATTGATGATGAAATATATACTGAACCATATCCATTGATTTATTCTGATGAACATGCAATTAAAACTATTCTTAATATAACAACATATCCATATCGAAAAAAACGTTCAATAAAAAAATCATATGATAAATCAAATAATCTACTTGTTATATTAACATCACGTTCAAAATATCTTTATGATTATAAACAACAAGATAAACAATTAACAGAATTTATTGCATCAGTACCATTAAGAATTCTTGTTATTGATTTTAATAAAATATCAAATAAAAATCAAGCTGAATATATTCATTCAGCATTTATTCACTATGCTAAATATGCTTTAGCATCATGTCCTGTGACTTATAATTATATTGAAACATATGAAGAGCTAGGTGATGTTATATATGGTAAACAATTATTTAATCATTATCATCGATTATGTTATCCACCTGAAGAAAATTTATTTAAAAATAATTTTACAACAACTTTAATTGAAACATCTGATAGTTCAACAATAGAATGTACACTTTTAACTTTATTTAATAATGAAAATGATAATTCAACATTAAAAGATAAATTTGATTATACTTTTTATGAAACACCAGATAGCTGTTTTTCTGCACCTGTTTATCGATCATTAGGTGATAGAAATTTATATGTACAAAAAATATCAAATGGTCATTGGTTAATCGTTCGTGTTGATTCACTTTTACCTTCAACAATGACTATTCAACAAAAACTTGCATCGACAACAACTAGTACTTTAGAACGTAAGTTTTATTTGTTTGCCTTTTTTTTTTTAATAAAGAAGATTTGTTTGGATTCTGTGAATTCTGAATTCAAGAAAGTCTCAGAGCTCCAACAACTGAAGAAATCCGACGACACTCGAGAATTTATTGAAGCTAAGGTAACAGATCAACTCTAGCGTTTCAAACGAAATCGACATCATCACGCTTTGATTACTCACAAATTTTAAGCAATTGTAATGTTCTGCATTCAGAATACCAGAAACGTCACGAAATATGACAAGCATACGGTACAATCTTTTCCATGGATGTTCAAATATGGCTATGACTGAAGAGAGAACCGAAACACACACACCTACACTCTTTCTAGAGTTCCATGAGTGAAGTTGCACTTTCGAGAGTTCAAAACCCACGGAAGCCGGTCGATCTCAAGAGGGAAAAAACGATACTTCAGTACTTTGAAGTACAAGTGAAGTGTGAATGAAGAACGAAACTTCACTCGTACTTCATAATACTGAAGTCTCGCATTTTCTCCTTGATCAATTACGTCTGTCATCGTCTGTAGAGAAGAAGGACGGCGAATGGATGAAAATTTCTGTGTTATAAACTTCAACATTCCTTTGAAATCGAGTTTCACGGGAAAAAAACTGATTTCTTTGATTTTTATCACTGGAAATCAGTTTGTTTTCCTTTATCGTGTTTCACAAAATCCGTTAGTTTATATCAGAAGCATATATTTATTTTCGTTTCTAGCTGAATTTTTCTATGCTACTGATTATGCAAATGGTCCAATGATCGATAACTGGAACAATGAAACAATAATTGTTGATTTACCTATTAGTGTTCCACATTGTTCTGATACTCCTGGTATAGATATTCTATGGGAAAGTGCTGATAATCAAATTCTTAATGATTATTCATTACGTACTCCACGTCAATGGATATCAAATTCAAATAAATCTGATTTAATTTCCCCAATTTGTAATAAATATAAAATATCATGTCAAACCTCAAAGTTCGATTTACTTATTCTTATTGATTCTCAGTATGAATATTTATCATTAATAAAAACATTTCTTAATATATTTCTTACATTAATTGAACCATATAATCATCGTTTTAGTCTTATTATATTAACATCATCAACAGTAGATACATTTCAATATCATCTACCTTTAACATTATTAAATACAATAAATAATAAAATAATTGAAAATTATTTATCTTATATTGATGAGAAAAATATTTCAATAATACAATTAAATCAACATCTTGAACCTATTAGTAATTATTTAATAAAAAATCAAGAATTTTTATCAAATATTTCTACACAACAAATTATATTAACAATATCATCACGATTGAATTTTAATCAAACTCATATAAAAGAAATAATTCAACGTTATTCAACTATTCGATATATGGTACTTGATCCATATTTAAAAAATGATGATTATGAACATAATAATAATCAAGAACGAGAAAATCTTCTTTCATCATTAACATCATCACCTTCATATATAAATTTATTTTCATCTTATGCTGCTTATAGAGATTTAACATTTCATACTGTGTTTCGTTTATTAGAAAGTTTATGTGGATATATTCAATAAACAAAAAAACAATACTATATATATATATATATTTAGCCTCGAACATAATGTGGAATATCATCTATAACAAAAACTATTTTCGTTTTTGGATTTTTTGTAGTTTCAGAATTTTTTTTTGTCAAAACTAGAAAACAAAAAATTAATTTAACACAATAAAGAATTTCTTTTTTCACGTACATTCAACTCTAACTACAATAAAATGCCATGTTTGAGCATCATATTCAAGTTGATACTAAAAAAAACAATAAAATAATCATAGTTATTGTCTTGATCAATGGTAAAGTAATTTCAAATAGATCGACTTTTATTTTTGACAGATCTGACCTTTCTATGATGAGTATTAGTAATATGCACTCTCTGACCTGCTATGAGAGAATTTATACTAGTCGATAGAGTTTATGTCTACTGAATCACAGTCTAAGCCAAAATTTCAATCAAAAAAAAATATATATTCGGAAAAATGACGTTACATGAAGTCATGGTAAATACCTGATGGTTTTAGTCAGTTCTAAATATATAGCAAGACCATATTTGATTTCAATCTTAAAATATTTATTTTGTTGAGTTCTTGGCTCAGAGCGAACCACAACATATCTTATCAGTATCCGTCTGTGATAAGACAACACCTTGCCAGTCTGTTATACCTGTCATATTATTTCTTTGGTCTTGTCTACTTATTTGTTGTTTTTTTTTCCCGACCTATCTATTTGCTTTTTCATACCAAAATCATGATAATAATAGAATAAATGAGGTATTAGTCTTCATAGAAAGCCTGATAAGTTAGTTGAAACAATTTAAAAATGACTACATTGTTTATATTTCAATCAGCAGAACCTAGCTCATGTCTCGTAATTTTTTTTACTACTAGAATCATACCAGAGTATGTGTGAATAGGAGTAGAACCAAAGAAAAGCGTTCACTTTAGGAGAACTATTTTAGTTAGTGGAAATGATAAAAAGCGTTCATAGTATACTGTAAAGAGACGTTCTCTCAGAGGAAGTTTCATTGTAGATTAAACACTTATGAGTTAAACAGTGCTGCTACGTAGCAAAATAAAGAAATAGAAAGACAGTAATCTTAAGAAAAAAAAACCTGATCTTTATTCGAGAACATTTCAAATTGATCTAACAGACAAGAATGGCGATCACAGTATTAAGATGAATATAAAAACGATGAACAGATATTCATTGTTAATAACCCTTCTAGAATAATAATGGACTTAATTATTTGTAAGTACATATGTTCAATATTTAAACTGAAACACTTATCTAATTCATCATTTTTAAATTTCATCTTTAAAATTAATCTCGTTGCATCTATTTACAAGAAATATATTCAATTTATGATATAAACTTTGATATCAAGAAAAAAATACCCAGATAGGCAGGTTTGTTTTATAGTCAACCTATTACAGACAGGCAGATTATCAATTAGAGTATTTCACAAAGACAAACTTACGTTCGTCTTCGTCGATCATATATCCCAATCTATCATTGACTATGGATTGAATACCTGTCTATTACCTTCGCATTATTAGAATTCTTTTTTTTTCCTCATTATTCCTAATATTCATTGGCATATATGTATCACAATAGGTCATAAAAATAACTCAAAGGGAAGACAGTAGGCTTCAAAAGACTTCAAGACTGAAGTCTCGGCTGTTTCGTCCTTGGAAGAATTACGGAATATCAAAATATATCATATCCGTCATAAACTAGTAAATCAACTAGTTCGATACTTATCATTTTCTTATTTGTCTTAAAATATTTTTAAAAACATGTTTCGTTAAGTCAAAATTTGTATAGAATAGACCAAGAAATTCTGATTTAATTCGTTCGATTTTTATTTCAATGAATAAAAACTAATTTATTCATGATCAATTAAACTTTCGACAATAAACTCTTCAATTTCCTCATTAAATTTATCTAAAACATGTTTCATTTTTCTAGATTAACCTAATGACTCTCTAATAAATATTATCGAATATCAATGAATCACACTAAGTATCATATATACAGTATACTATATCATTTTAATAACTCTTCATCAAAGCCTAAAAGATCATAACATCCATCTATCGTAGATTATGTTACGTCTAAGTTTATTAAGTAAATGTAACAGCTGATATTAATAATTAATTTATAGTTGAACCTAAAAGAAAAAAACAATTTCAAACAATGCGAACTGTGTCACATTGTTGAATATAAACAGTAAACTAGTCTATTGAACTATGTTTTAGTTAGAATTTTTGATTATATCTTATTACCTCATGTCCAATATTACATTGAAATGTACCCTTAAAATATTTAATAAAATTTTCTGCTAAATTTTTTAATTTTTCTTCTTCAATATGACTACCAATTTTTTTTCGAAAATCATTCATTCTAAAAACAAAGAAGAAATTATTAACTTAATATCGATCAATTCAATATTATAATAATAAACTTACTTTTGTGTAATAACATTCAACCAAAGTTCTGTAATTGGTGATGGTTTATTTGGTAGTCTAGAAATACAAATGAATAGATTTAGTATTATTAATAATTTATACTAACTGAGTTTGAATACGTTCATTCGAATATTCTAATAGAGAAGCAAATGTTTTTGTACGATGTCGATATAAATCATTTGTATAAAATGATTCAGCTAATGCTTTAACTGATATAATTTCTTCGTTATTGTTCATAGAAGTAGACTTTTCAGGTGCTGAATAACGTTGTAATACTAATAATGATATAAATTCAATTAAGAAAAGAAAAAGACTACTAAATGAATCGATTGTAAAATTACCTGCTGATTGTTCTGTAAGCATATTTTGACTAACCCAACGGCGTATACTACGTGAATTTCGAAACCATGATAAAGAATAAATATCTTGATAAAAAAAAATACATATTTTACAAAAAAGAATACCACTGAAATATATTTACTATGATGATTCATATTTGTTTTTATCTTTTGTTCTTGTAATTGATTAACTACAAACGAAAAATTTATGTATTTTATTTTGTACGATTTAAACTCACTAAAATAACTATCAAGATAATCAATAATATATTGAGTTTGATCTTCAAATGATATATTTTGATGATTAAATAAATCATTTAAATTTTTTTCAAATACATTATTATGTTCAATGGTTTCAATATTCCATTTATTTTGATTAAGATCATAAGATAATATTAATGTTGATGGTAAAATATCTGATCTATGATAAAAAAAATAATATGTTCTTGTTGAATTATCATATCGAATTGAAATTTTTCTAGTTTCATTGATTTCTTGTTCATATAAAGCCAACATTATATTATACTATTAAAACAAATAATTTTTATCTTCTTTTTTTTTTTTTTTTGTTTTCGGAATAAAATATATCTTCTTACACAAACACGTAGTAACATAGATTGTTTATATTACATGTCAATAGATAAGAAAGATAAAAAAATTTGGAATTTGTTCTTTTAAATGTTACTTCACTATGTGCAATATAATGCTTGCAAGGCTCTGAATATATTCTCATTTGTATTACACAAATTTTGTTTTTTCAAAAAATGTGTGCTTTCTTCTTGGAATCTTATAGATCTGTGTAGTATACACTTTATATGTACAATGTCAGTTTTCAGATTTTTTAAAAACTTTATGCAACCAAATATGATTGACTTAAACTGATTTATAAAAAAGACAACTCACTGGGATATATGTATATATCCCTAAGATTCAGATAAAAATCTGAAGCCTTGATTTTGTTAACTCTTTCGGGACGGAAAGCATACATAGGCGTTTCGTGTCCTGGAATAGTTCACATCTACTGATGCGCACTATTTATAATTGATCAAACTGGTACTATTTTGTGATTTGGTAAGAGTGAAATATATGTGCGTCACACTGATTTTTGAAAGATCAATATCACTGATTAGAAATGAAAATTAATTCATTTTAAATAATTCCGTATTTCATTATTTTGCTGCGAAAAAAACAAACAATTTCGCCCTGCAAGGGTCAATAAACTAATAGTTTTCAGGCAAAAAATCTAAAGCATTGATATTTTATTTAAGCCTCATAACAAGGTAGGTATTCTGTAAGTTTTAGTCTAATATTATGGTTTTCTATTTGTTTAAGAACATATGAATTGAGAAGGGTGATGTTATTTTAAATATATATTTCATTAGCGATGACATGCAAATGCCATTGATTGAGTAATCCGAGAAAGGTTCAAAAAACGTTGTGTTCTAGCGCAACCAAAATTCTAATCCATGTCGAATGCTTAATAATAATTGTAGGCTTTGAGCTGTTATTAGAACTTCTCATAAGTCATGTGATTGTATGTGCTCATAAAATTGTCAATTCTTATGTCCACATTCAATTGAAGTATTATGATTGTATTAGCAATTACGCTTTTCAACGTAACTTTTACCAATCAATCAGTTATCTGCAAAAGAAATATTTTCTTTCATCCACATGAATTTTCATCTGAACGTTTCATTAAATCTGAGTTTGGATTGGCTCAGTCTCAATTTTGATATCACATTGGACGCCATGTGATGTTACACACGAAGGAATACTAATATCATAAAATTCTAAGGTCATAGGATGGGGGAAAAACACTAGTTTTTAATATAATTGGATTATATTCGAGAAGGTATATTTTTTTCCTGGATATTTTTCGAAATGACATATATATGAGCTATTCTAACTGAACTCTTTCGATATTTCACTGTTTTTGTTCTTGTATATAGTCTTATTTATCTAAATAATTAGACACGCGGAATCTACAAGCTTGAACTTCATATCCTAAATTATATTTATTATCGAAAAGTGATTATGAAAGTAAATTTTAGTCACGATTTTAAAATAATAATGATTACATGTCTAAGTATTCAATGTTGCTACCATCTAATTTTCATTCATTAAGTGGTAATAACTAGCATAAATTGTCTAAAAAAATACTTATAATGAGTTTTGATAATAGGTCATTACTAACATTATTTTATAATTAATTCAGTCATAATTTTCCACCGGAAAGTTACAAGCAATTTTATCTGTCTACCATACTTATATAATTGTCAGTCTATAAAAAAAAAATAACAAGTACTTAAATATAAAAAAGGACATTAATTTGATATTTCTGTTTTTCTTTTTTTATCATTCATGGTTTTTGAAATCTGTATTATATATTCTTAATAATCTTATTTATTTCTGAATAGCATTCGACATTGAGAAATATTTACATACTCCATATTTAAATAAATATTGAATTAAAAATTTTCTTTTTTTTTGTCTTGTCTATTGATTCAAACGTGAAAATGAAAATGAAAATAAATGTATTTATTTATTTTTTCCTTTTTTTATACTTGATGTGAAGTATTCTTGAAATATACTTTTCTTCTTCGGGTTTGCTTTTTTTTTAAAGAAAATATTATTTTTTTTCTTTTTGTGAATCATTGTACTATATATTTGGTATTTCTATACTTTGTTTTAAGTATCTAATTATTATTCTATTATAGATAAATGAAATAGAATATTCTATTTTACTAAGATTACTTGCACTATATATAATCCTTGATATAATTTGATCATTATGTTGTATACTGGCATTAACAAGTATTTTAATGTCAACATAGCAAATGAAGAGTCACATGGTTGTGTAATGAGATACTTCAAGTTAAAAATGAATTAAATGAATAGAATTGAAAACAAAAGAAAAATTTTAAATCCTGGTTAAATTAATAATTCTTTATTTAGTGAATCAGTTATATAGGTCGTCAAGGTCAGCATGTTCTACATCCGTCAAAACATCATAAAAGTAAATGCCATGCCGAAGTCTCATTGTTGATATATGTATATGTTGACAAACTTATATTAAATTGCGATGATGACAGACACATTTTTTCTATTATATTTCGTATTTAATTAAAAACGTCAATGTTTTACTTGTCATAGTTAATGAAACAAGCCATCAAAAATGTAAGAATATACCTTTCAACAAAAGCATTTCACAACTAATGAGTCTTTCAAAAACAAAACAAAACAAAACAAAAAAAAAATAACGACAGTAAATTGTGATCTCTCATATCTTTTTTATTTTATTTCACATATTGTTTTTTTTTTCACTTATAAATCGATATAAGAGATCAATATAGAATGTGTCACAAATTATTTTCAAATAAAAAAAGAAAACAAACAACCAACCAACCAAACGATTTCTAGTAATAAACTTTGCAAGAAAAGAGAAAAAAAAACAAATCTAGATTAAACCAAACTTACAAACAATAGTGAATAACAACAAACAAGCAAACAACAATATTTGAAAAAAACACAAAAAAAAAGAAACTAAACAAAACAAAAATAAATTACGTATCACAGATTAACGAGATTCTGTCATAAAACGCTCATTATAGAAAAATGTATATACGTTTTCTTTTATTGTCTCGTTATTGGTTTTTCCTCACACATTTCGACTATTTCTCTTTTGTTTTTTTTTTGTTGATATAAATATTCACGACCAAAAACTTGAACATAAAGAGAATATAACAGAAAAAAAAAAAAAAACAAAAAAAATCACAGGCAATAGAAAACACTAATAATTCGAAATACTTTCTTTTGCTTTCAAATAAAAATAAAACAACATACAAATCATGATGCGTATAATAGCACCACTTAAGCAATGAAAATTATTTATATTCATTTACAATAATCATTGATGTTATAGATATAATTAATGTTGAGCAAAAATTTTGTCGGTGTCACTATTTTTTATACATTTCTATTCGTTGAAAAACCACCGATTCGACCATCTCTAGAAATAAATAATATAAATACTAAATAACATTTATAATCAGTAATAAATTTTACAATAAACAAAAAAAACAGTTTTTGCTACTTAAAAAGTATCTCAGTAAACGAAAAACTCTGCTTTCTATCAGGTAAAAATTTCTTAGTGGTTTTAACTGACAAGAAAACTCTTTCAATTGATAATCTTTGTTCGAGTTTATATTTTGCTGATTATTAGAGTCGATTATGCAGATATAAATTCTAAAAGGACATGTGCCATAAGAGTTTTTTTTTCTTGAGTTATGATCATTTGACTTAAATTTCAGCCTCTTTCTAGATATTACAAGGAAAACTGAATCAACGAATATTAGTCTGAAATTTTACTCGGAAACATATCTTATAATCCTTATAATAACATACAAGTTTAAACAAAAACAATGGTGTTGCAAAAACGGTGGTTTCTTGCTCAAGATTCAAATAAATGCGGTTTCTTTTGCGTATGTAATATCTTGAGAAGAAACCATTCATTTTTACTGAAACTTACATAATATAATAAGAACATTGAAGTCTAACTTCGAGAAACATGTCAGACTAAATTGTCATAATTTAGTTTTCCTTGTAATATGTTACAAGAGGCTAAAAATTCAGTAAAATGATTATGACTAAAGAAGAAAGTGCTCATGGCACATTACCTTCTCAGACATTTATCTTCGTAATTGACCTTACCTATGAGCTAAATATGATCTCGAGCAAAAGTTATCAGTTAAAGGAGTTACCTTATGAAATAATTTAAAGCAAGCTTAATTGGAATTTGTACGTATTAGCAGCAGGAGCAAAAGTAATAGCTATTTTGCTTTTAGTCGTTCTTTGTATACCTGAACTAAATTTGGTCTTGTTGTCTTTTTCTTCATTATACTAAACTTAGTGAATAACGGAAGGAATTTTTTTCAAAAGAAAACTATAATCAGGAAATAAATCGAAAAGATATCATAAATTTTTCTTCTTATCTTACCTTGCATAGGTAGTAAGATTTGTACAAAATTGATTCCATCTACAAAAAAATCAAAAATTCATTCAATACACAAAAGAAAAGACTTTTCAATTAAGAAAAAGAACAAAACTTACAATCCAACTTTATATTCGGACATTTTTTCTGAAGTTAACAATTGTATTGATGTCATATTTAAAGGTTGTTCATTTTGCATATGTTCATCATCAACATGTGTCATAAATTGTTGTGGCGTAAATACTTGATCACAACGAAAGCAATGTATACAACGATAATCAGGCTCATTAAACCATGTTGGAAATAATTGTCCCATGGTATCAATTGTTTTACTTGTATATGTTTTTGTATGTCGTACAACAAGTTTAGGTAATTTATCCATGTCACAGTAACCACGTTCAATAATAGCTCGTTGTAAATCAATACTACGTGTACGAATATTAGGTAATGTTAATTCATGTGGTGTATTTGGTGGACTAATTAATATTGAAGAATTTTGTGCAACAATAGGTGTTGTTGGTGGTGCTCGAGATTGTACTGGTGTTGGACGACGTGGTTGAGAATAGGATTCAGTTTTACGTACTGCCATTCCATTTATCGGTGTACTTGGAGGAGGTGGTGGCAGTGGTGGTGGATATGGATAACGCATAGATGGATTCATATTTGGATTTGTGATTGAAGGAGATGTGGATGGCCAATGGGATGATGATGAGAATGCGGGAGATGGTGGTGCTGGTTGAACAAAATATGATTTCGGTGATGGATAAGATGAGTACGGTGTGGTTGGTGTTGTTGGTATAGAATCAATACGACGTTGTTTTCGATTAATAGATGGTGATGAATGTTGAATCTCTGGTGTTTGCGATGGATCACGTTTTAATATTTGTGATGTTGATGTTGGAACTGAATATTGTCGATAGATAAGTCTTTCATTTGATGCTAATTTATCTGCTGAATGTTGTGATTGCATTGCTGATGATTGAAAACAACAAGGTAAACGACATGGTACTGATGATGATGACGTTGGTGGTGATGTTTGCATTTTAATTGATGCTTGTTGTTCAGGTGTTAATTGATGATAATAATTTGGTTTTCGAACAATAGGCATAACAACAGATGATGCTAAATTATGATTATTATTGGATGATAATGATGAAGGAGGTAATGTAACGGAATTTGATTGATTATCATAACAATTTGTTATAGGTAATTCTTTAGATTTTTTTATTGTTGGATATTGTATTGAAGAAGAAAATGGATATGAATAAACATTTCCATTATTTACATTTGCTGCTGAATGATAATACGAATGTGGCATAGGAGCTGATGATGGATCACGATATACATAAGAATCTTGATGATAAACACCATATGGTGGTATACGATAAGAAGATGATGAAATTGGATGATGAATAGGTGTTGGTTTAGTTAACATTGAAGGATTAGGTATATGTGCTATTGAACGCGATATAATAGTAGGAGGTGCACGTGGTTCAGGATCTGAAATAGTAGGGACGTTTGACGGTAAATTTTGTTTGTTGGTTAAAGTTGATTTTTTACTTTTGATTTTATGCCGTTGATTAGCAAGTTCAACATTTTCTTCAACATTAACAATCATCGGCATTGAATAACTTTCATCAGTTAAATCGATTGCTTCGGCTGTCGATTTAATATTTAATTTTGTCTTATTATCGATTGTGAGAAATTTTTTAATTGTTGAAAAATTTTCTTTTTTACGACATGTTATTAATGATAAACTAAATGAACGACGTAAAAGAGTTTTATTTGATTGTTTACTATATGTAAAAGATTTTGAACGATATAAACAACGTGAATTATTTGTCGATAATATCGGTATATGAAATTTTGTTGTACTTGAAGAATCATGAATATCATTATTATATGAATTAAGTATACGCCATTTTTTTGGCATATTCATTACGGACGATGATGATGATGAACATGGTTTATTTATATGAGTATCATCTATAGGACTAAAAAAAATGAAAGATATATTGTTGTTGTTTTTTTTTTTTTTTATTGATAAATTAATGTTATCGCTAAATATATGTTCTTCAAGCTTTGACTAACATATATTCAATAACTATTATTAAACGTATATGATGACATTGCATGATTATTGTTAATAACTTTTTTGTAGCCTAATGCAAAAGGATTATTTATAAGTATTTTTAATGAAAAAAAAATCTCATTAATACTATAAGAAATTCTTCTTTCCTTTGGAGATTATGAGCTACTTTCAAAAATTTTACAAGTCAGCAAAATATTTTAGAACACTATTATCTTTTTATAAAATATAGATATTGATTTAATGATAAATATAAACAATGAGAAATTGTTTTCTTAGAAAATATGAGAATATTTTCTTGAATAGAGATCGAACATCATTTCTACATTTTAAATTGAAAACTAATTCGATATATCTTTATACACAAAGAAAACAATCAAAATCTATTATAATTTCAATCCGCCTACTTTTACTACTTTGAATAATACTCTTAGTAATAGAATTTCTATCACAGGTGGATAAATTTAAGACTAACAGACTTAGAAATTTGTTGTCTTTTTAGCCTTATTTCAATCTCAGTCATGATGCATTTTTATCCTTTTTGCCCTCGTATACCTTTAGTAGGTCGATGACTTATTCACCGTTGAATGCTTTTCATATCTCTCATCATAAAAATAAAATAAAATATTGATTCACGTAACTACAGAAACGTGTACACATCATGATTAATCGAACATGATTGTTTTGGTCGGGGACAAACAAGAAACATTATACTTTATAGTATAAAAGCCTTATGAGAATTTCGTTTTTGCATATTGTCAACAACTTAATTATAAATATGGATATATTTTATTTAGTAGAACTAATTGATAGTCTAACATAAATATTTTTAGGTGCAAAGGTTGAGTTATTTCATGTTTCATTGTACTTACAATTGCAAAAAAAGAATTTTTATGTTTGTTTCTTTCAATCAAAACATAACAAAGACGGCGCCTTTTTTTAAAGGGTTTTATGCTAATGTAGCTATTTATACTGTCTATTTAATAAGACAGAGTATCCTTGATGAATAAAATGGATTATTCTTACTTTTGTGAATTCATTCGATTTAAATTTGTAGATTTTTGAATAGATTGTTCATTAGTAACATTAAGCCTTGATATATTTTGATATTGTTGATGAAATTTATCAAAATACATATGTGTATTTTCATTTTGTTTTTTTATTATTGTAGATTTTGATATAATTTCAGATTCAGTTGTTGCAACTGTTGATGTTGACATTGTTGTTGTCGTTGTTGTTGTTGCTGTTGCTGCTGCTGCTGTTGTTTCGGTACCAGCTGCTGTTGCTGAAACAGTTTCATTTGTTGAAAAGATATTACAACTAACTGGACCATTACATTGTATAAATATCCCAAATTGTGTTGGTGCCAATGGTGGTGTTTCATTTGATTTTGGTTTTTTTGTAACAATTTTCAAGCGTTTTCGAGGTTCTTCATCATGTTCATCGTCATCATCATCCGACGAGAGACGTTTCGTAGCCATTGGTGAAGGTGAAACTGAAAAGAAAAACAGAAGAAAAAGAAACCTTCATTATAATATAAACATATGCATACGTAAGCAAACAAAGGGAAAAAAGAAAGAATTCTCATTTTACCTTTGTCCTTTAAAAGAACAGGTGTTGGTGTTCGTCTATAGCTACGCATTTCATCAATTATTTGATTGATATATTTTTCGCGTTGTTGACTTTCATTTTCATCTATACAAAAAAAAAAACATATTCGAATACAAGAAAATCTTTCCAAACTAATTTCGAACTTCGATTTGTTGATGTTAGTAGTAATTGTTTTAATTTTAGTAAATAATCTGATGAATTTATTGAAATAAGACGATAACGATTGTCATTAAATTTTTTTAATGGTGGTATCTGTTGTTCAATAGATATTTTTTCTGATAATGTTACTTGTTTTATTATAATAAGTTCTGATTTCGATAATAAATTAATAAATTCATCTAATGTACATAATGATGAAAATACTTTCATATATAAATCTTCTAGACAATAAAATATTGAGCCCATACGTGAAACAGTTAATATATTCGATATATTATCAAATGAAATATTTGATAATATTGAATCAGTTGATGATAAACCATAAGAATTTTCATTTATGGAAAGATTTTTCGAATTTGTATTATTCGACATAGTTGCAGATGATAGATATTTATCTGGATGTTTACGCCGAGCTATTAATCGATTTCGATTTTGTTGATGATGCGTTTGTCGCATAAAATTAGTACCGATAAAAAAAGTTCGAAAAAATTTATTCGATATTGGACGATTATGATCGTTTAATAATGGATGTAAATGGGATTTTTGAGTATGACGAAAAAGTTTTGAATTATTTAATGAATGTGAGATTAAATTTAGTGAATTTTTTGGTTTGTTTAAAGTTTGTTTGCCTGAAAAGAAAAATATTTCTCAAAATATACTATTCTTCTTTTCAAAAAACAAAACAAAAAAAGAAACTTTAGTTTTTTTGTTTTTATTCTCAACATTAATTTGTACCTGTAGACGACCTTTTCTTTGAAAGATTTGTTTCATGTTCTTGACTATTACATAAACTATCGTTTGAATTAATATTAGTTGTTATTATATTGAACTGTTCATTTTCATCATCACTATCTATATCATCTTCATCGAGAACAATTAATAATGGTTGTTCACTATTATCTGTTGGATTAGATGGCGTTATTAAATGATTATCAACATAAGTATCGTCTTTTTCGTCTTTAATATTTGATTGAAAATTTTTGTCTAAACAAAAAGAAAAGAAAAATTCAAAACTAAGTTATTATACATTTAAATGATATTCGTAGATCAAAGAATTTCATCATTAAAATATTGATATGTTTGGGTGCTATAACTATAAAGTACCTTAAGCCTTTTGTATATGATATTTAAAATGCTCAATAAGGAATGAAAATCACGTATATAAACACAACATTAATAAAGCAGCTTATTTCTCTATTGACACACATATGACATATTAATAGATGAAAATAAGAAAAAAATTATGTTTATTCTCAAAAAAAAAAAAAAAAAAAAGAGTACCAGATGTATATTTATATCGATACTTCTTCAAGGCGGAAATAAATGGCACATATAATATTTTGTTTTTATTATTTCTCAAAACCATTATTTGATTTCATATTTACATCATGAATACACATTTTTGATTATTTAGAAAAACCTTGAAAATTTTAATTCTGTAGGATAAGAAGTTTTTCAAAAACAATAAACAAAAACCTATAAATACATCAGCGATAGTCATGTAATAATGAAAAATAAATTCTAGTTGTTTTCTTGTGGAATACAAGTTTTTCGATAATTTCCATGGTAACATATCTAGCGGAAAAACATATTCGTTCATCAAAAGTTAATGTTGTTTAGAAAAAAATTCAAATTTAGCAAGAAAACAACAGAATTCACTTTCATTGTTATGTGATTAAAGTTGATATGTTTCTTGTTTTCTTAAAGAATTCTCATTCTATAAGATTAGAATTTTCAGGAATTGGTAATCAATCAAAAATGTATCTTTAATATAAATATAACACTTAACGACAATAGTTTTGAGGCATAATCAAAAAACTATATGTGTTGTTTTATTTTGACTCGAGGGATATGTTCAAAAAGTCTTTCATTATAACAAAAACAATCCTCATCATCATACTATTTTTATGTAAAAACGCATGACCGACTAGACATAATAGAGCTTTAAAAATATTTCGGATGAACGAAACTAAAAGGATAAAATAAAATAAATTAATTCCATTTTAACATCAAGTAGATCTTTGCTCTTATTATATAATATTAAAGGTTCAAAATGAACAATATAAATATACGCACGCGCACGTCTGAAAAAGATGAATCGGTTGATTAGTGTTAATAATAATATGAATAGACACACAAAATTAATCGGATCTAATTGTCACGTATGTTATGTTTACCGTGTTGATCTGATGTTATATTTATATCAATCTCATTATAGTGCTGTTGATGTTGTTGCTTTTTATAATAATCGATAGAAAATATATTTAGATGTTCGAATATTCTATTAGCGTTTGTATTCATTATCATCTGTTGAAGAAACTAATGTTCATGTAAATTAAATATTAAAAAAAAGTGTACTTTTTCTCAAATAAAATAATGACAGACGATCGTTTATTTAGTTTTTAAAAAAACCGGGAGGAGATTGAAGAAATGAGACTGTAAAAAAAAAAGAATACGAGAGATTTCTACATGAATGAAAAAAAAAAAGAGTAGAAGAAGACGAAGGAGAGAAAAGGAAAGAAAAAGTTCCTTTTGTCTTTATTATTTTTTTTCTCTTTTAGATTGTCTAAAAAAATGAAGAGAAAAAGAAGAACTAACCAAGAAACAGAACGATGATGACAAGAGAAAAATGTTTTTACTTGACATTAAATGGAACATGTTACTACAATTTACACTGAATGAACGATGTGAACAAGCGTGACGTAATTTATTTGACGATGTAATGAGAAGCGAAAGAAAGAGGAAGACAAAAAAATTCCTTTACACGTGTTTCAACTCTTCATTAGGTGTTTTAGTTCTGTAACTTGTCAGAGATTTCTCTCTCGTCTTCTTTTTCTCGTCTTGTTAATTTTGTCAGTTTATTCGCGGACCCGTAGGGTCATGGAAAAAAGAAGAGATACAAAGAACTTACTCGTTTAATAAAGGATAATTATACGCGATATATGTGCATCGAATTAAATAAAAAAGAATTCTCCTGTTCTTTACTTAATACTATTATATTCTTTTTTTTCTTGTTCACATTAAAGAGAAAAAAACATCAAACTTTTTTTTACTGGGATTTTTACACAGTTGTTTAAGTGTCGACAATGAGAAAAAAATCACCCATTCAAACATCTGCAACCAAAAAGTTGTTGGTGTTAGTTTTTATTCTCTTCTTTTTTTCTTACGGATAAATCCGCATCATTTTAAACTTCCTTATAATGTTGTAGAAAATAAAATAAAATGATAATTAAACATAAAATACTTCTTACTTTATACTTATATCCACTGCTATAAATAAATATATAATGAAAAAGATATTCGCAGATTTTTCGTCACTTTCTTTTGTCAAAAAAAAAAAACGAAATATGATTTGTATTTGTAGAGAGAAAAAGAAAAGGTGCCATCGGATGATTATTATTTATTTTGGCTTCGGAACGTCTACTTAATTTTCTTTTTTTCTTTTTTTAATGAATAACAATGATATGTAAACATTCGGAAGCAAGAAACTATTATTACTTGAGATGACGAATTCGATTAGAATTGAAATTCTATTATTTCGGGGTTTTTTTTTTCGAATTTCAAATTTTTTTATTGCACCTCCAAATAATTGAATATATATTAGTTCTATAAAGGGAAACAAATGTCATGACTTCATGATCATTGAAAAAAATGACGTTTGTCAGTTCTCTTTTTTAATCTACTTGTTTTAGATTAATATTTAGAGTGTGTCTGAATATTATATTAAAACTTGCCTAAAAAATCTCTTTTTTTTCTCTAAAATCGCTTTGTTTATTACCTTAATATACGATATAGATAAAAGAACAATTCTTTTGATTTTTATCTCCGGAAATTTAACTTATGAAAGAATTCCAGGAAAAAAAAATATTAGCATATATAAATATACATATATATGTAAATCAATAAAGCTTATCTTCTTCATTCGATAATTTATATTAGAGAGTGCCCACGATATAAAACAAATTACGAGTAATTATGTTTTTGAATGAACATAAGTATATAGGAGTTTATCTAACAAAAAAAATGATCGCATTTTGTAATATTTTTAAACCATCATCTGCCCAAAAGAAAAATACACTTCGTCTGTTTCTCTTTTTACTCTGTGAATGAAGAAAAAAAATTCAAAAAAACACCCATAACCTAAAGCCTTCAAGACATAAACACTTTTATTTTGAAAGGTTTCAATTTATTCATTGTAAGTAATTTCAAATACTTTAAAAAGCAAAAAAAACGAAGTCGACTTATTTGTCGTTACGCTTTCGAGGTTATATCAACAGTAACATTACATGCCAACAAATGGAAACAATGACTAATGAATGTGTAAATAATAGACTTTTTTCTGTGTCTACACAAAAGAAAAGGTATTCGCTTACTTAACTATCAAGGATATATTTAAAACATGAAAAAACATGTATACGTCATTGTTTCACATTTTCTTGGCACAACAATTGCGCTGAAAAAAATTTACCAACTATTCTCATGAACAAATTTTCTCTTCTATGATAAGATTATGCATATGAATATTTACAAAAAAAAAATCAGAAATATAGAACAACAAAATATGTAAATAAACAATAGCAACCTTTGCCCTTCAAGATAGTTATTATGCGTGACGAACTATCATCTGACATTTCTGCATACAAATACTGCTTACCATATAACATATTTTGTATTTTATAAAAAAAGAAATTTCTTGAATATTTTCAAAAATAGATTTCTTTCTTTAATATCAATGATGATGATAATAATAATAATAATAATAATAAAAAGCTTTAGGTACAGTTTATATTTACAATAAACACTGAAAGCGATCCGATGACTTGACTATACAATACATTTGTGTTCGAAATATTTTTTTGAGTGACACCTATCTGCGTCTCGCGCCGTGGTATCGGTTTTGCATGAATGAATACATACATTACGGGCCAAGACAAAGCTATACTATCTCTTTTTTGCAATCAATCATAGTCACGGATACTGTATTTTCTCTGCAATTTATTCGCCATCGTCCTTCGTATCTTATGATTGCAAACGATTGATCTACACCAGTGATCATAATTTCTTTTTCGTCTTGTCGTCATACTTTTACAAATGAAAACCTTAATAACTTCCGGTGTATATATTTTACACGCGTGTTTTGGGTCATTATCATCACTGATTTAAATCAGGGAGCAACGTTCGACTACGAATATATACACAGGTGTACATCAATTTATATATAAATATGCATGTATGCATGAGAAAATGAAACAGCAGTGTAATTTATATGAGAAAAGAAATGATGGAGACTGAAGACAATACTGTGAATAAGAAACAGAATATAAATAATCACTACATTCTCTAATAAAAGGTGAAGTTTTCGAACATATGATTGTGTGCATTATTATAAATTATCAGGAATTCTATTTCGAGAAAGAGTCAATTAAGATCAAATAAAGAAAACAACTAATCCAATTACCTATTGTTTATTGTTCTTATAAAGAAAAAAGAAAAACGAAAAAAAAAAAACTTCAACCTTTTTGATTACTAAGCATGCAAAATAATCACAAAAAGAAAAGGGAAAAAAATCAATTTTTTTTACTTACATAATTTTTTTGAGAATCTAAAACAAATGGTCTTATCTTAATGTCCACTGTCATATGATAAGGAAAACTTTTTGTCTCTCTTTCGCTTTTTTTTATTTATACATAAAGATTACACAAATCAAGGGCATTATTATCAAGTTTCATATATATATATTTATTATCTTCCATTGTGATTTTGAGTGCATTTCGTACGCAAAAGAAGCGCAACTGAAATCTGACTGACCTCTGTACTGTTATATGCTGAAATAAATGTGGTGTTTTTTTCTTTGTTGAAATAAAGAATGATAAGATAAGACGAAACAGAATATGTGTAAGCCTACGGATTTCATAGTCATAGCTAAAATATCTTTCAAAACAGAAGTACTTTTGTCATTGATAAACTATGATATTAAAACGGCAAACTCTTATTATTTAAATATAAGAACGTTTACTAACGTTTTTATTATCATTTATATTATGATGATGTCTTATCTAAT